CCCCCCGACGGCGCTGGGGATGCTGCCATGGGTGTTTCGCCGGTGGACCTTTTTCTCAAGTGGCATATTTAGCTGAAAACCAGAATATATATCAGATGACACTGGAGCTTCTCAGAGTCAGTCAAGCCAGGGTGGGCCTCCAGAGCCCTCCTCATCCACTGGGCCTCAATTTATTCTCGTTTCTAAGGAAAGGGGTCCCATTAAAGATGAGACCAGTCCTGGAAGAGGGGAAACCAGAGGGGTGGAGAACAGATCTGTGGCTGCCAGGGGTGAAGGGTGGGAGGAAAGCTAGACCACAAAGGGTAGAGGAGGCGATTTTGGGGGGGCAACGAGATTGTTGTATGTCTTTATTGTGGTGGTGGTTACATGACTCTATGCATTTGTCAAAACCCATAAAACTAGATCCCCCAAAAGAGTGAATTTTATTTTGTGTACACCTAAAAAAAGAATAATAAAGGCATACAAAACCTTTCTTCCTGGCAGTTAGATTCACAGTGCAAATGGAATGGGGTGGGGGTGAGAGAGACATTTACTTAAAAACAACAACACCAAAAACAAAATAAAAAAAGCAGTAGATTCCAGAGTTGAAGTCAGGCCAAAATAAAAAAATAAAAACATAAATAAATAAATACTTTTTTTTTTCCAAAATGGAACAACCAAATGGTCCAATGATTCTTAATGTATTTAGTGTAATGTGAATTAAATGAAAAAGAGGAACTGTCAAATGCAGCAGTGGACGGGTAAAATTCGTTATTTATGTTGAGCAACTTTCGACTATGTATATGAAGATGTGAGTAAAATAATATGCTGGACAGCAGGTGTACGCCAGGACTGTTCCACGCCAGCCAGGACTGTTCCACGCCAGCCAGGACGTAGGGCCGCTTGGCCCCGAGTCACTGCTGGGAAACCTGGAGCCCTGAGGAGCACCGTGTGAAAGCTCATTGCCCNTGTTCCACGCCAGCCAGGACGTAGGGTCGCTTGGCCCCGAGTCACTGCTGGGAAACCTGGAGCCCTGAGGAGCACCGTGTGAAAGCTCATTGCCCTGCGGCAGTGACATGTGGGTGGTCCTGTGAGGCAGTGTCCCGCGGTGCCCCTGGAGCAAGCCCTAATTTCTTTTCGTCCCTCTTTCTCCTTGAAACGGATACGCCGAGAAGCTGTTTCTTCCCCGTTTAGTGCTGAATCGTACAGGAAAGGCAATGCCTGTGACTTAACCAGTGTCTCCCGGGACTCTGCCCTTTCAGACTGTTGCAAAAATGCTTTTGACAGATTTGTCTCTTTCCCTACCCCTTCCCCCCTTGTAGCCTTCCAGTATCCGCAGCTCAACCTGTCGCAGCTGTTGAAGTCCTCTTGGGTAAGAACAGGTACGTGTCACTTCCGTCGTGTTTCGGGAACTGTTAGACTAAAAAGTCTGTGCCGGCGTATGAAGAATTGATCCCGCCTTTCCCGTTTCTCAGTCCTAAATTCAGGGCAAAGCGTCCCTTAAATTCTTGGCAAAGAATGAATGAGAAAAAGAATTCAGATTGGACGGTGGGAACGGGTCCCACTGAGTTAGAGCACAAAAAGCGCTGGCCTTCTCTAAAATTCACGCATCGAGTCCGGGGCAGCCTAACAGGAGTTGACAGCTTTCAGACCCAGAACAGGGCGAGGTTCTGAAGCGAGGATTTTTTTTCTCTCCTAAAAGTCTTATTTATTTGGTTTTCAAAGGACAAGTAAGGTAACTTGGTGAGCAAATAAGGAGCTTTTTTTAAAGTCTTGCGGGCCTGGGTCGGATATTTACAGCTATGGCATTGCCAAATAAGACTTTCTGACCTCGTTGTACAAAAGTGTAAGAGGTAGGACCATGCTTACCGGTGCCCAGAGAGTGAGGAGCGCAGTGCAGCTGGTCATGGCGAGAAAGCAAGTGGAATGGTGACAGTCACCATTTGTGGGTTCCTGTACCTGCACGTCTTCACATACAACATTCCACGGGCAGGGCCCACCTCTCGGCGTGGTCCTGAGGCCTCATTTCCCAGATAGTTTTCATAGCCGTTAAGTAACTTGCCCGCGGTTCTATCTCAGAGGGGATTTGAGCCAAGCTGGCCGAAAAGAAAATCTGGCAGATTGTCTCTGTAGATAATCTTGTTTACAGCAGCTGGCTGAAGACAGGCACCTTATCTGGAGTCAGTTTATGAGTCCAGATAAGATATGAACTTAAACCATTTCCAGAAATTTTGAAATAAGTGCAGACAAAATGTTTGATCTTGCGCAGGCCATCTTAGCCCCAAAGTCCCCGTGCATCGCTGAGTTTCTGGGACTTCTGGCCACCAGTCTTTGTAACACGCAGAGCTTGGAACTGAAGATAAGACCCATGAGCAGCACTTCCTGGATCCTCCCTTGCTTTCCCCCCTTTTAATGTCTCCACTCTAGGGCAGTGATTTTCAACTGGTGTGCTGCAAGAATTTTTAAAACATGCAATACCTGACTATTGAGCATTGACCTCTTTTCCCTTAGATTGTCAAAAAAAAAATGACAACAGCCGCCTGGCCGGTGCGGATGAGTTNGAGCACTGACCTCTTTTCCCTTAGATTGTCAAAAAAAAAATGACAACAGCCGCCTGGCCGGTGCGGATGAGTTGGTTGAGCATGTTCCCATGCACCAAGAGGTCATCGGTTCGATTCCCAGTCAGGGCACATGCCCAGGTTGTGGGTTCAATTTCCACTTGGGGGTATGCAGGAGGCAGCTGGTCGATGTTTCTCAGCAGTGTTTATATCTCTCTCTCCCTCTCCCTTCCTCTCGCTCTAAAATCAATAAAAACTTATTTAAAAAAAATGACAACAGCCAACACAACAGTAACTCTGGTGTGAATGAATCAGAATTATTACCTTTTCTTTTTTGGTCAGATCAGCAAAAAATATACTGTTTGGTGTGCTACAGAATTTTAATAATTAGTTTATGTGTGCCACGAGATGAAAAAGGTTGAAAATCGCTGCTCTAGGGATTGGCCCTTTCCAGTAACCCTGTATTAATTTCTCTTATACCCGCACCCTTTTTGCCTCCACCGCTAACTTGTTTTGGGCCTGTGTGTGTTTTAATTTAAATGTAGTCCTCCTGGGCGTCGTTGAGAAGCAGCTTCAGAATGAAGTGTTTCAAGCTGAGATGGAGCGCAAACTGGCCCAGCTGCTGAGCGAGGTTTCCACGAGAAGGCGGGTGTGGAGAAGGGCCACCGTGGCTGCCGGGAACAGCGTGGTGCAGGTAGCCAAGGAGGCCCGAGCAGGGGCGGGGGCGTTGTCACGACATGGGGAATGCCACCAGGGAATTCTGATTTCGGTGGAATGCGGCCTCAGGTGGCGACCGAATTGGGCAGCATTTCAGATCAACTAGAGTCTAGCAAATACTTCCCGAGTCCTCAGTAAGTGGTCGGTGCAGGAATGGACCTTGTGGGGACCACAGTGAAAATAATTGTGTCATTGGGTTGCCATGCCAGCAGATGACCTCATTTTTCAAAAAGTCATCTTTTAATACCCCAGATGTAGTCAGTTATGGGATGGTAATGTTACTCATATCATCACAAACATAACCATTCATCTGGAAGAGACCTTAAGAGAGCAGAAAGCGGAAAATTTTCCGCCCTCTACCCTAGCACCTCATCCTGCCTCCTCCCGCCACCCCTGGTGGTCTCATGTCACCCAAAATGCTCTTCACCCTGTCGATGAGCAGAAAAGTTACAAATGACAGATTCATTTGAATCGAAAAGTGACCCATTTTGAAGTGCACAGGCTCCCAGCACTTTGGAGGCTGGGGCTGTGATTTATCCCCATCTCCGTGTGCATTCATGTTATTTCCGATATTTTCCTTTACCAGCTGCTGGCCTGTGGAGCTAGGAAAGTGGGATGTTTGGAGCTGTGCGTCCGGAGACAGGAAACCGGGTGGGACCCGGAAGGGCAGGGGCGATGAGGTGGGTGGTTTAGGGGCATGAGGGAGAAGACTGCAGAGTTGATGCTGGCAGTTGGCCTAGAGCTGGCACCGTCATCCCCCAGCTCTTCCACCAGGTTTTCCCCCGTACGCATTGCTTTTAATTTCCCCTCCCACAGACACGGTGGTTAGGTTTCTAAAACAGTTCCTTTGCCAGATGCAATAGAATACAGAGCAATTTAAGAACTAGTCAATTTGAGAGTTATATTAATTAATATAAATATAAAACAAATAAATATATATTTACATGAATATAAAACGAAAAATAAAAATGAAGGTGAGTTATAAAAGCTTGGCCTTGTTCAGTGACCCTGGCTTCATGCAACTCAGGGTCTGGGCGGAGGTTAATAGATGCCCATAAAACAGTTATAAAGCACCATACGACACGACCAGGTGCTAGATTCGATTGGAAAGCTCCATGAGGTAGGAATATTGGATTTGTGAACGTTAACCAAGCCACCCCACGGTAACGGTGCCATCTGATGGGTTGCTTGGAAACCGTGCCCTGCTGCTCGTCTGCATCAGAGACAAGGACTTATGTGCCGGGCATAGGACTCTTCAGCAGACATCATTTGCAAAAGTGCAAGTATTAAAATGATCGAAATGTCCAGCAGTTGGGGAATGGGTGAATAAATTGTCATGAATCTATATCTGTTAGAATATATGTGCAGCTGTTACCTTTTTTTTGAATTAGTGATATAGAAAAATCTTCAAGTGAAGAGAGGCTATAAAAGAATGTTATGCAATATAATCCGAATATTAATGTAAAACTCATGAAGAAATGAATGGGAGGAAATATGCTAAAATATTTACAGCGGTTTCCTATGGTTGGCTGAATTTGAAGTGACTTTAATTTTATTTGTTATACATTTTTCTTTGTGCTTTTAAAAATGTCTCCAATGAACGTGTAATTTTTATAGTGAGCATGTGATTTTAGTCAGCAAGTCATTTTAAAAATGAAATAGAAAATGTTGCCCAGAATGATGACTCCATCACACCATGGTTGTATGGATTCCAGAGAGGAGTCCGATAAGAGTCATCCAGAAAGGATGCTGGACTTAGATTTCACCGACTGTTATTTTCAGATTGGCCAAGCTTGTAGGATCTTTAAATAAGGTGGATATCATTGGAAATCCGAAATATGGTTCCTGCAAGAAGAAACCGCTTCTAAAATTTATCAGAACAGCCCCGGCTGGTGTGGCTCAGTTGGTTGGGCTTTGTCCCGTGCACCTGGGACGTTGCCAGTTCCATTCCTGGTCAGGGCACATGCCAGGGTTGCGGGCTTAATTCGTTCTCACATCGATATTTCTCTCTCTCTCTCTCTCCCTTTAGAAATGAATTAAAAAATCTTTAAAAAAATGTATCAGAACATTTTAATGGAATAAATAGGCACATAGGTAGGAGGACACAAGGGTGTAATCGACTTGCTTTTTAGTAGCCCTTTGTTAGTATCCATTCTAAAGGCTAATAAAAAATTAGTGCAGCACCGTTCGGGGGCAGGGAGTAGGTGGCTAGGGAACAGAAGTGGTCAGGGAACTGGCCTAGAAACACCAAACAAAGGGCAGGCCAGGGGAACCCAGCTCAGGAGGGAGACGCACAAAGAACAGTTTCTCCAGGGCTGCGGGCTGCGACCTGTGTTGTTAAGAATCTCTATGATCTGGAAGAAGGCGCTCACAGTGAAATCCTGAGGGTGTTGATTTGCCAGAAGTTCCCGGTGGCGAGGGAGCCCAGCAGCCATGTCAAGCGTGCGGAGCAGTGTTACGGTCCTGGACACGTGGCTAGAGAAGTGGCAGCTGTTTTGCCAATGACAGCTGTGGAGAGCAAAGATTCAAACTGCGTGTGTAAAATAGGGGGCTCGGCGTCATTGCTGATCCTTTACTCAGAACATCAGCCAGCGTTCTGCTGGAGTCCGAAGGGGCAGTAAAATGGTTGCGTGTTAATGAGAGAAATGGCAGGAGAACAGAAAACTGTATTTGTTTATAAATGTTCTAGATTCTGAAGTACTAATGTAAAGGGCCACCCTGAACACCAGAGAGAGCATACATTTTGGAACAAATCAAAGTACTGCTTGATGCAGCAGATTATGAATGTATGAGAATTTTTTCCAGCTTGGTTGAGAGAGACCTGACATACCACACTGTGTGAGTTTAAGGTGCACAGTGTGATGATTTGATATAAATACATATTGTGAAATGATGACCACAAGAAGGTTAGTTAGCACACCCGTTGCTCAGTTACTTTTAGGTATGTGTGTGTGGTGAGAACTATTAAGATCTTTTCTCTTAGCAACTTTCAAGTATATCGTACAGTATTATTAACTGTTCAGCGTGCTGTATATTAGATTTCTAGACTTATAACTGGAAGTCTGTGCCCTCTGACAACCTCGACCCATTTCTCCCATGCCCAGCTTCTGAGCAACCACCGATCTACTCTCTGTGTTTTTTTTTTGAGTTTGTTTTTTGAGTTTTTTTTTTTTTAAGATTTCACATATAGGTGAGATCATATAGTATGCATTAACACGATACTCTCTAGGACCATCCATGTTACAGATGGCAGGATTTCCTTCTGGTTTTATGGGTGAATATCATTTCGTGTGTGTATGTGTGAAGGTGTGTATATGTGTGTGTGTATATATGTATATATACATATATATATATATATAACATTTTCTTTTTTCCTTTAAATATATCTTTATTGATTTCAGAGAGGGGAAGGGAGAGGGGGAGAGAGAGAGAGAGAAACATCAATGATGAGAGAGTCATTGATTGGCTGCCTTCTGCATGCTCCCCCTCTGGGGATCGAGTCCACAACCCAGGCATGTGCCCCGAGTGGGAATCGAACTGTGATCTCCTGGATCCTAGGTCGATGCTCAGTCACTGAGCCACGCCAGCCAGGCTATACCATTTTCTTTATTCACCCATACATAGACACTTACGTTGTTTCCATGTCTTGGCTATTGTTAACAATTCTTCAGTGAACATGGGGTGCAGATATCTCTTTGAGGAAATGAGTTCCTTTCCTTTGGATATTTAACCAGCAGTGTAATTGCTGGGTCATATGTGGTAGTTCTATTTTTAAATTTCAGAGGAACCTCCATATTATTTTCCATAATGGCTGTACCAATTTGCATTCCCACCAACAGTGCACAAGGGTTCCCTTTTTTCCACACCCCACCAACACTTATCTCTTGTTTTTTGATATTAGCTATTCTAACAGGTATGAGGTGATATCTCATTGTGGTTTTGATTTGCATTTCCCTGATGATTAAGATGTTGAACACCTTTTCATATGCCCGCTGTCATTTGTATGTCTTCTTTAGAAAAATGTCTATTTAAAAATAGATGTATTTTTTTTGCTCTTGAGATATATGAGTTCCTTTTATATTTTGGATATGAAACCTTTACAGATGTTTGATTTGCAAATATTTTCTCTCATTCCATAGGTTGCCTTTTTATTTTTGTTGATTGTTTCTTTTGCCATGCAGAAACGTTTTAGTTTGATGTAGTTCCACTTGTTTATTTTTGCTTTTGTTGCAAGTGCTTTGGGCCTCATGTCCAAAAGATCTTTGCCAAGAGCAATGTTAAGGAGTTTTCCCCCCTATACTTTCTTCTAGGAATTTTATGGTTTCAAGCCTTATATTTAAGCCTTTCCATTTAGAACTAATTTTGTGAGTGGTGTAAGNCCTCTGGGGATCGAGTCCACAACCCAGGCATGTGCCCCGAGTGGGAATCGAACTGTGATCTCCTGGATCCTAGGTCGATGCTCAGTCACTGAGCCACGCCAGCCAGGCTATACCATTTTCTTTATTCACCCATACATAGACACTTACGTTGTTTCCATGTCTTGGCTATTGTTAACAATTCTTCAGTGAACATGGGGTGCAGATATCTCTTTGAGGAAATGAGTTCCTTTCCTTTGGATATTTAACCAGCAGTGTAATTGCTGGGTCATATGTGGTAGTTCTATTTTTAAATTTCAGAGGAACCTCCATATTATTTTCCATAATGGCTGTACCAATTTGCATTCCCACCAACAGTGCACAAGGGTTCCCTTTTTTCCACACCCCACCAACACTTATCTCTTGTTTTTTGATATTAGCTATTCTAACAGGTATGAGGTGATATCTCATTGTGGTTTTGATTTGCATTTCCCTGATGATTAAGATGTTGAACACCTTTTCATATGCCCGCTGTCATTTGTATGTCTTCTTTAGAAAAATGTCTATTTAAAAATAGATGTATTTTTTTTGCTCTTGAGATATATGAGTTCCTTTTATATTTTGGATATGAAACCTTTACAGATGTTTGATTTGCAAATATTTTCTCTCATTCCATAGGTTGCCTTTTTATTTTTGTTGATTGTTTCTTTTGCCATGCAGAAACGTTTTAGTTTGATGTAGTTCCACTTGTTTATTTTTGCTTTTGTTGCAAGTGCTTTGGGCCTCATGTCCAAAAGATCTTTGCCAAGAGCAATGTTAAGGAGTTTTCCCCCCTATACTTTCTTCTAGGAATTTTATGGTTTCAAGCCTTATATTTAAGCCTTTCCATTTAGAACTAATTTTGTGAGTGGTGTAAGATAGTCCAGTTTTATTGTTTTGCATGTGAATATTCAGTTTTCCCAACATCATTAATCAAAGAGACTGTCTTTTCTCCATTGAGTGTTCTTGGCTCCTTTGTCAGCAGGATCTTTTGTGGTTCCATATAAACTTTTGGGTTGTTTTCTCTATTTCTGTAAAAAAATGCCATTGGAATTTTGATAGGGATTGCATTGAGTCTGCAGGTGGCTTTGGGTGATACAGACATTTTAACAATATTAATTCTTCCAATCTGTGAACATGGGATATCTTCCCATTTATTTGCGTCTTCTTTAATCACCAATGTCTTACAATTTTTCACTTCCTTGGTTAAATTTATTCCTAAGTATTTTATTGTTTTTGATGCTATTGTGAACAGCACTGTTTTTAAAATTTCTTTTTTAGAAAGTTCATTGTTAGTTTATCGAAGTACAACTGATTCCATTGTGCTGATTTTGTATTCTGCAAAGTTACTAATTCATTTATGAGTTGTAATAGTTTTTGGTAGAGCCTTTAGGTTTTTAAAAATATATAAGATTGTATCATCTGCAAGCAGAGACAGTTTTATTTCTTCCTTTCTGATTTGGATGACTTGTATTTCTTTTTCTTGCCTGATTGCTATGGCCAGGACTTCTAGTACTGTGTTGAATAGGAGTGGTGAGAGTCAGCACCCTTGCCTTCCTTGTTCCTGATCTTAGAGGAAAAGCTTTCAACCTTTTGTTATTGAGCATGATGTTAGCTGTGGGTTTGTCATATATGTCTTTTACTATGTTGAGGTTTGGTTCTTCTATATTCAGTTTGTTGAGAGTTTTTATCATGAATGAATGTTAAATTTTGCCAAATGCTTTTTCTGTTTCTATTGAATGGTCTTATGATTTTTATCTTTCAATTATTAATGTGATGTATCACATTTATTGATTTGCAAATGTTGACCCATCCTTGAATCTTAGGGATGAATCTCACTTAATCATGGTGTATGATGCTTTTATTGTGCTGTTGAATTTGGTTTGCTAGTATTTTATTGAGACATTTTTGCATCTATGTTCATCAGAGATATTGATCTGTAGTTTACTTCTCTTATAGTGTCCTTACCTGGCGTTGGTATCAGGATAATGTTGGTCTCATAAAATGAGTTTGGGAGCATTGCCTACTCATCAGTTGTTGGGAAAATTTTGAGAAGGATTGGCATTAACTCTTCTTTAAATGTCTGGTAGAATTTGTCAGTGAAACCATCTGGTCCTGGGCTTTTATTTATTGGAAATTTTTTGATTACTGATTCAATCTCCTTACTTGTTACTGGTCTGTTCAGATTTTCTGTTTCTTCATGATTCAGTTTTGGTAGGGTGTATAGTTTAGGAATTAATTCATTTCTTCTAGGTTGTCCAATTTGGTGTATAATTATTTATGGTAGTCTCTTTTTATCCTTTCTGCTTCTGTGGTATCTTTTGTAATTTCTCCTCTCTCATTTATAATTTTTGAGAACTCTCTTTTTCTTGGTTAGTGTAGCTAAAGGTTTGTTAATTTTGTTTATCTTTTCAAAGAACCAACTNTTAATTTTGTTTATCTTTTCAAAGAACCAACTATTATTTTGTTAATCTCTTCTGTTGTTTTCCTGTTCTCTATTTGATTTATTTCTGCTGTAATCTTTATTATTTCCTTATTTTTGCTAACTTTGGTCTCAGTTTTTTCTTCATTTTCTAGTTCTTTGAGGTGTAAATTAGATTATGTATTTGAGATCTTTCTTTTTTCTTGGTGTATACATTTATAATTATGAACTTCTTATAACTGTTTTTGCTGCTTCTCATAAGTTTTGGTATGTTGTGTTTCCATTTTCATTTGTTTTAAGATATTTTCTTATTTTTTCTTTGGATTTCTTCTTGGGTCCATTGGTTGTTTCAGGAGTGTGTTGTTAATTTCTGTGTACTTGTGAATTTTCCAGCTTTCCTCCTATTATTGATTCTAGTTTCATATCATTGTGGTTGGAAAAGACACTTGATAAAATTTCTGTCTTCTTGAATTTGTTGAGACTATTTTTGTGGCCTCACATATGGTCTACCCTAGAAAATGCTATGTGTGCACTTGAGAAGAATGTGTATTCTGCCGTTGGATGGAATGTTCTGCATATGTCTCTTAGGTTTATTTGGTCTGTAATGGTGTTCAGATCTGCTATTTCCTTATTGATCATTTCTCTGAATGATCTATCCATTATTGGGGATGCTGTGTGAAAGAATTTGAGAGAGTCATTAGCCCAAGAGCAGTGGTTCTCAACCGGCAGTGATTTTTGCCCCCTAGGGCACATTTTGGCACTGTTTGGAGACATTCTGCTTGTCACAGCTGATGAGTAGAGGGAAGGGCTGCTTCTAAACATCTTACAGTGCTCAGTACAGGCCCCCACATCGAAGAATTCTCTGGACCAAAATGGTAATAGTACCAAGGTTGAGAAACCCCATCCCAGAAGAGCAGGGAGAAAATGCTAATAGATTCAAGAAGGGATTGGATAGACCAGGCGACCAGGGGTGTACCTCGCCTTTGCGGTTGATGTTATAACATCATGGAGCTTCTTGGGAGCAAGTCTAGACTCCTGGACTTGGCAGCCCTATGGTCTGTGTATCCTACTGGCCCTTTGCCTCAGAGAAGACTTTGAGCAAGATGAAGCTCCTTTGCTATTCTGCACAGAGGATCTTTTGTTTTAACTGCCCCCCTCTTTCCATCAAGAGAGCATCGGGGGCATTCTGGAACCCGGGATAGGGTAAGGAGCTGATCACGAGGACTGGAATATATGGTGATTAACGCAGTCAAGGCTGAATGCCCAGAGGAAGGGGCAGCTGGACACACGCGCTTCTAAAATGCTGATGGTTACCGTTATCTTCCAGGTGGTAAACGTGTCCAGGCTGGAGGGAGAGGACGATCCCGTGCAGCTCATCTACTTTGTGGAAGATCAACACGGAGAAAGACTCAGCGCAGTCAAGTCTTCCGATCTGATTAACAAGATAGACATCCAGAGAGCAGCCATTATCTTGGGTTACCGAATTCAGGGCGCCGTCGCCCAGCGTAAGTGCCTGAG